GACTGAGCATGCAGCTGAAAAGAGCCACGATGCAAAGAGTCTTTTTAGTCTGTTGATGGAGCATTGGCTTCCAGAGTGTTGTGGTTATTTGATTAAAAATAAACTACCTCAGGTGGCTGCACAACTGAGAAAATCAACAAAAGGATGAAGTGAAGTGTGAAGTGTGCGCTGCAGAGGTGGAGCTGGATCACTCCCAAAAACCTGGAAATTCTTTTGGAGAAACTCCTGAGTTTGCAGGTCCATCTGCTGAAGGCAGAGGATAAATTCAGTGCGGCTGGTGAGGGGCTGGATACCACAAGATTGGAGGGACTGGTGGTCCTGCAGTCCCACAGGAATGATTTCCTAGAGGAAGGATGCAAGAAATAATTTGCCTGAAATAGAAAGTCAGGAGACCAAGACATGAGGAGATCTTTGCTGTGGGCAAACTACAGAGAAAGTGTGGAGTAAAGTCATGAAAGACAAAAGCCATCAGTTTTTAGGAGCACGGACCTCTCCAAGCCCCTTCATCATCCTTCCAGTGCCTGAAGGAGCTGACAAGAAAGATGGAGAGAGACTCTTTACAAGGGCCTGGGGTGGCAGGAGAAGGGGGAATGGCTCCCACTGCCAGAGGGCAGGGATGGGTGGGATATTGGGAATTAGGAATTGTTCCCTGTGAGGGTGGGCAGGCCCTGGCACAGGGTGCCCAGAGCAGCTGTGGCTGCCCCTGAATCCCTGGCAGTGCCCAAGGCCAGGCTGGATGGGCTTGGAGCAGCCGGGGACAGTGGAATGTGTACCTGCCCATGGCAAGAATGGAATGGGATGGGCTTTAATGTCCTTTGCAACCCAAACCAATGCAGGATTTTATTGTTTCAGTGGCCAACAGCCCTGTATTGATCTCCCCTGTGGTGTGGGAGCATCCCAGTTCCTGCAGTGGAGACAGAAATGGGAACTCCTGCTGCACACAGGGAGGGCCTCAGGATCTCTGGATGCGAAAGAACCTCTGGGTGTGGGTGGGGAGCAGCCAGCTGGGGATGGAGGGATGCAGGGATCAGCAGGAGAGGAGGAGCAGAGCTGTCCTGCCCCTCCATGCCCAGGTTGCCCAGCCAGGAGCAGTTTGCACACAGACAGGCAGCTCCAGGCCGGGCTCTGCTCACCTGTGGAGCTGCCAGCCCCGGGAATCGCTGGCGAGCAAGCAGATGGAAGGAGCCCTCTCCCCATCTGACACCAGCACAGATTTAATCAGCTCACACTTCCCTTTTCCACCTGGCACAGACACCGGGAAATGGATCTTGATTTGCGTCCTCCCAGCTCTCCCGGTAGACTCTTGACATCTTTGTTTTCTTGTGACTTAACAGCAGCAATTGCAGCCCAGCACTTTGCCACCTGTCACAGGGACGAGCCCGGTCCCTCCCTGGCTGTCACTGCTTTGCTTTTTGATTTTTTGACTCTGCTATTTTGGGGGGAGCAAGGGGAGATAGGATAGAGATACAACCGGATGAGGAAGAGAGCTTTTCCAGTGCCAGGACTGTTGGTTTTTTATTCTGGCTGTCTGGATCATTTCCACGCTCCCTCTCTTTCTTCTCAGCTTTAAAATATATTTAGGCTCAGCTTTGTCCCAAATATTGCTAAAAGTGGGGCTGTTCCACCCTTGGAGGTGTTGCTGTTGCTTGCAAATCTCTTAATATTTGATGTCTTGCGTTCCTGGACCCCACCTCCTGGAACTGGTTACTGAACGTTAAAGCTGTTTTCAGTAGGGAACAGAAGGGGGAAAAAAATCCCAAATGCCCTCAGGCACCATATTAAAGCTTAAAAAGATGATTTCTTTCCCTTTGAGATGGGAAAATGAATGAAAGTTTTGTTGTGTGGGAAGGACAACCCCGACAGAGTCCTTCTTTGAGTAGATCCTGCTAAGGGTCTTCAAGGAGAGCAGCTTCTGTGGTTTGGGTAGGGAAACTGAGGCACAAACCCAAGTTGATGGAGGAAGAGCGAAGCCAAGTCTCACCTGCTGCACACAGTGACCTTTGAACACGGTGTCTTCTTGTTAGAAAGGAGATTAATTCATATTGCTTTAAAAAAATCCACATGTGAAGTGAGGGAGGGGAAAGTCCCTCCCTGCCTGTGCTGTCAGAAGGATTTGTGTGTCTCAGCAGAGCTGTCAGAGTTAAATCCAAACACAGCCATTGGAGCCAAGGAACCTGAGAATGAAAAGTATTTTATTAACATTCTGCTATTGATTTCTTAATGGCTTTTCTTCCTGGAAACAGGCAAATATTTACTGAGCTTGGAAGATGCTTGGGAAGGGGCTGGTGGTGGGGCAGGGGTGTGAGGGGCCATGAAGGCTGAGTCCCAAGCTGCTCCTGGAGGGGACATGCCCAGTGAAGACAGAACAGGAACTTGGGCAAGGTTGGATTTGGTTTCCGCCCTCGTGCACTCCTTCCCCCTTCAACACCTCTGTTATTTTAAGCTTTCAGTGCAGCAAGGGAAGAGAATGGGAAATAAAAAGAAAATCACTTTCCACTCGCAAATAATTCTATAAAGCACATCTGTGCTGCAGTGCAAGGCGAGGAATCTGGGATGATAACACCAACCTGGAAGGAAACTCAGCAAAGGGATGCATCAAACTCAGCTCTGCTCGCTCCTGGTCGTTCCACTGAGCAGCCCAGTTGCCTGGAAAGCTCAGTACCTTGTTTGCTCTGCTCTTGACTTCTGATTCTTCCCTCTCTCCACCTCGTTTTTTCTTCAGGATGCTGTTATATGAATATCCTTAGCTTAATTTGCATTGCATTAGAGTAAAACATTTTAAATTTCTTCACAGCAGAAGTAAATCTGACAGACTTTATGAAGCCATTATACCTGCAGGTATTTTATACTTTTAAAATACATTCTTGTCAAGCTATCTTAATTATATTATTATATGTACTTTTGAACTCGGATCCACTCTCGGGTGATATATTACGCTTCTGACAGTGCAGACCTAAAAAGCTACAATTTATATCAAAGCTTTGTGGCTGAACAAAGATGTATCTATTATGGATTCGGGGGAATTTATTAATTTACAGTTTTGGAACACTTATTCATTGACAAAGCTTGCTGGCTTTAAATTTCCAGCAGGCGATTATTGTGTGCAGCATTTCCATGGCTTTGGAGGTGTTGGGATTGCAGATGAGAATGCTGGAGAGCAGCTGGAGGTACGGAGGGCTGGAACCTTTGCTGGCTTTTATCCGGGGTCAAAATTTGTGGCATTGCCCATTCCTGTGCCAGTGGCAACGGTATGAGCCCTTACAGGACATCCCCAATGCTCTGGAGGACCTGCCCTGGCAAAGTCTTCAGTGGATCCTTCAACAGAACTGTTCAGTGCTGGAAACTGATGGAGCTCAGAGCATGCAAGGGAAGTTCTTTGCTGCTGCACAAACCCTGTTTGCAGGAGGTATTTCTCACAGAAATCAGAGAAATCCAGAATGGTCTGGATTGGAAGGGACCTAAAAGATACATCTCGTTCCATGGGTAGGGACTCCTTCCACTGTCCCAGGGTGCTCCAAACCCTGTCCAACCTGGCCTTGGGCACTTCCAGGGATGCAGGGGCAGCCACAGTCCATCCCATCCATCCCAGCCCTTGGCCTGTCATTCCAGGCCATTGTAAAAAGTCTCTCTCCATCTTTCTTGTCAGCCTCTTCAGGAAGAATGCAAGAATTAATTTGCCTGAAATAGAAAGGTCAGGAGACCAAGACAAGAGGAGATCTTTGCTGTGGGCAAACTACAGAGAAAGTGTGGAGTAAAGTCATAAAAGACAAAAGCCCTGGAAGGGGCTCTGAGGTCTCCCTGGAGCCTGCTCTTCTTCAGGCTGAGCAACCCAATCTCTCCCAGCCTGGCTCCAGCACAGAGGGCTCCAGCCCTGGGACATCTCCGTGGCTTTCTCTGGACTTTCTCCAACAGAAGAGCAGAGTAGAGGGGGTGTCTGTCCTGTTGTTTTCTGTGCCAAGGACTGGGCATCAGGAGGGGCCACAGGGCTGCCCATGGAGCTGCTCATTCCCATGATCACAGGCACAGCCTGTGCCCTCCTGGGCTTGGGAGTTATCACCCAAAAAAGAGGTTGGTACTAAATCTTTATCAGTTTAGGATGTCCTAGTGGAGGGGGTTGATGACTACTCCAAACTCTTGGTGAATGGTTTTGGTGCAAAGGGAAGCCACATGCTCATCCTGAATTCCATCCTCCAGTAAATCAGCCTGTGGATGTGGGAGAGCTTTACTTGGCCCTGGCAGTGGGGTAGAAGGAGATGATCTTTAAGGTCCCTTCCAACCCAAACCATTCCATGGCTCTGCTGCTCTATCAAATAATTGTTAAGATGTGAAAAAACCTCCAAGATTTCAAGTCCAGCATGTGACCAAACACCACCTTGTCACCCAGGCCATAACCTAACTGGACACTTCCAGGGATGGCGACTCCACCTGGGCAGCCCTTTCCAATGCCTGACAGCCCTTTCCATGAAGAAATTCTCCCTGATGCCCAGCCTAAGGTCTGCAAAGAGCTGGGCCAGTGACATGGAGAGGTGAAGGTCCTTTCCATCCTTCCTTTACAAACTCTTCCTCAAATCCATGCTGGCCCCAAGGCTCAGGACTGGCAGCAGCAGCTTTTTGGGCTCCCTTGGTCATTTTTTCCTTCTATTTAACAGCAAGAAATGAACAGATCAACAACTGTTCTATGCTCATTACATTGCATCAACTTCTCCCCTGATGAGCTCCTGTGGATGAGAGGTCTCAGCTGAAGTGGCACCATGGGGGGGTGTCTAGCCTGGAGAAAAGGAGACTCAGAGGTGACCTTATCACTCTGTACAGCTCCTGTAAGGTGGCTGTGCTCAGCTGGGGTTGGGCTCTTTCCCCAGGCAGCACTGACAGAACCAGAGGACACAGCCTTAAGCTGTGCCAAGGGAAATTTGGGTTGGATATTAGGAAGAAGTTTTTTACAGAAAGGTGATAAAGTTCTGGAATGGCTGCCTGGGGAGGTGGTGGAGTCACCATCCCTGGGTGTGTTTAAAACAAGCCTGGATGTGGCACTGGGTGCCAGGGTTTGGTTGAGGGGTTGGGGCTGGGTTGGACTCAGTCTTGCAGCTCTCATCCAACCTGGTCATTCTGTGAATTCTGTGAGTTCTGTGGAACATTCCCCATCTCCCTTGGGTGCTGACAGCTCCAGGAGAGCCGGGGCTGGAAGCACAGTGAGCCAGGAGCATTTATTCCATGAACCTCCTTCTCCAGTGACTGTTCTCCTCCTGCCTCTCCTCGGATTAAGGAGGCGAGGAGAGCTGGAGGAGCAGCATTAGACTTTCTATTCTGAGCAATCACCAAAATCCACTCAGGAAGTTTAATTGCTTCAAGTAAAACTTATAAATACCAACAGGGCACAAAGCACTTCAGCTGGCAATTTTCTTCACTGCTTTCTGAGGATTCAAATGATATTTTTCATTCCCTATTGTTGTTCTAAAGGTTTTGGAAGAGCACTGATTATTTTTTTCTTTCCTTTTTTTTTTTTTTGGGGGGGGGGGGTGGAATTTTTTTTTACCTCTTCAAGCCCTGCACTTCCCTCCTAAAACATGTTCCAGTCAAGTTCATTGAAATTGCCTTGGTATTGTCAGAAAAATCAGTTTGACTGCTTCATCTTGTAGAACTTTCAAAGCTAAAAATTAACTGACATTTCCAAGTGAAATGTCATTTTGCTCCAAATAAATAAATAAATAAATCCAATGTTTTGACATTTTTAAAGCACTCTTCCTTTGTAAAAGGGAAAGAAGTTCTTTAAATGAAAGTCCTGTCAAAACTGAATTTTTTTTCCTCTCTTTTTTTGCTCAGAGAAACTTTGATTTTTATGGATTTCTTTCTGTGAGAAGATATTGTGTGGTTCACCCATGGGGCCAGGCTGGCCCAAGAGTGACTGGGGGGGATCCTAAGAGGATGCAACCGGTGTGGAGAGGCACTGGAGGAGGTCTTGGCTGGGAAACTGGATGGTTCTGCATCCCTGGCTGCACATAAATATGTATTTCCCATCCCTGGCAGTGTCCAAAGCCAGGCTGGACAGGGCTTGAAGCATTATGGGATAGAGTGGAAGGTGTCCCTGCCCATGGCAGGGCATGGAACAGGATGGGCTTTAAGGTCCTTTCTAACAAAAGCCATTCTGGGATTCCATGATTTTATATAAATATATGTAAATCTTTATTGTGTGTTGGCTTGGCTGCTTGTTTAGAGGCAAATTTCCACTGCAGTTGAGCAATCCAAGCATTTCCTCTGGTGGCCTGGGACACAGAACCCCGGGAATGTCTCTATTCTTCCACTGGGCTCTGGAAAAGTGGAGATGTCTGATCACAGAAACCTTGAGGTTGGAGAAGACCTCAAAGGTCATCAAGTCCATCCTTTGATGGGACAGCCCCACTAAGCCAAGTCCTGCAGAGCCACATCTGCTTGTTTTTGAGCACCTTCCAGGGATGGGGACTTCACCACTGCCCTGGACATCCCCTTCTGATGCCTGACCACCCTTTCAGGGCAGAAATTTTCCCTAATATCCAACCTGAACCTCCCCGGTGCAACCCGAGGCTGTTTCCCTTGCCCTGTCACTGTTACCTGGAAGAAGAGCCCAACCCCGCCTGGCCACAACTTCCAGGGATTTGTAGGGAGTTTGGGATTTTGGAGTTTGGGAGTAGGGATTTTGGGAGTCAGAAGCTCCCCCAACTTGCTGTTGTTTGGGTCAGCCTTGGAAACAGCAGCTTTTCCCCTCCTTGTGTGTTACCTGGCTGTGTGGCTGCTAACGTGAAGATAAAGAACAGCACCTGAGCAAACAGTTGGTCTCGACTCCAACATCCCTGATCCTCACCCCAAGAGCAGCACTGGGAGGTGCCTGAGCGTGGCTTTAGTGTTCACTCACCCACTCCCACTGAAGGAATGACTTAGAGCCAGACAGGGCTGGGTTTTTTATTATTTTGACACTGATTGATGTATTCCCTGCCTTCAGTGGGAGCGGCGTGCCTTGCTGAGGGCAGCAGATCCCAGTGGGTTCATTCACACACCTCCCATGGCTCAGGGGGCTCTGAGAGCCCTGCAGCAGGGCTCAGGAGAGAGGAGAGGGGGCAGAGCTCTCCAACAGCCTCCAAGGTGGGATCCCTGGGGCTGAGCCTCCACGGGGCAGGGTTAAGGAGTAGCTCAGGGCAGCTTGGGAGATGTCTCCTGGAGAAATGGAGAGCAAACATCTCTGTAGCTGCTTCTCTCCTGCCTTTCGTGCCACGGAGTGCAGCTGATGTTGCTTAATCACTGCAGAATTTTGTAAATGATGTGTGGAAGGGGAAAAGGCAGAAAGAATCCCTTGTTCATGCAGGGAAATCTGTGTTGGGAGCAATTTATGGCAGAGGTTTCCTGTAATGACAGGGCAGGAAAACCTTCTGCTCTAAAGGGGTGAAAAAATATCCCCTTTGTTTTTATTTCCATCTTAAGGGTTTTTTAAATATCTTATTTTCCTGCAAACTATCCTCACAAAATACTTCTGGGCCTCCCCAGCCAGTACTTGGGTCAGCCACACTTTTCATACACTACCATGGTTTCACCCCCATTTTCCCTGCTGCTGAGGTTTTAGAGAGGTTTCAAAGCCAATTCCATTTCCCCTCTGGTGTTTTGGGATTTTTCTTCATTTGTTTCGGGATTTTTCTTAATTTGTTTTGGGTGGATTGGGGTGTTTGGGGTTTTTTTATGTTGGGTTTTTTTATGTGGCAAGGCCATGCAGTTCCCATGCCTGTAACTCCTGCCCTTGTGCCTTTCTGGGGTGGTCTGGAAGCAGCTGAGCACAGAGAGTGGGAGAACAGCACCAGCAGCCTTGGACATGCCAAAAACTGCTGCAAAGCAGAGGGGAACCATGACTGACCATGGGAAAAGGGTCATAATCCCATAATTAGATTCTAGTGGGGATATTTAGCTTGAACATCTGGAAAGTCCTTTTCTCTGTGAGGAGAGAGAACCCTGGGGGGGTTTGAGGCAGCTCAGACATACCTGAGCTGTTTTTACTGGGGGCACAGCTCCTCCTGGTACTGGAAAAATGCAGAATAAGAATGGCTTGAGAGGACCTGGAGGGATCACAAAACTCAGCTATTTTCCTCCAAGTCCTGGGTTAGGCAGTGCTGGCTTTAGCAAGGATTAGGATTTATTTTATTGGAAGGAGGATTTGGTTGTCGCAGGCGGAGATGCCCATTTGGGAGGCTGGTGAAAGGATGCCCTTCCACTACCCCAGGCTGCTGCAAGCCCTGTCCAACCTGGTGTTGGACACTTCCAGGGCTGGGGCAGCCACAGCTGCCCTGGGCACCCTGTGCCAGTGCCTAATAAACACCTGGAACCTGCATCTCCCACCCTCCCTCTGCCTCCCTCCTTCCAGCAGCCCTTCCCAGGGCTGGCAGCATCACCAAGCCTTCAGCAGTAACTTCAGAAGAAAGGAAAGGCTTTTGACTATTCCCTGGCATGGCTGCAGACCATCTGAGACCGGCCCAAGAGGAGCTGAAGCCCAGACACAGCCCCAGGCCCGTGGAGCAAAGCTGCTATTCTGAGAGCCAAGGAAGGCCAGGTTTTATTGGGGATGTGTCAGGGCAGGCAGGGAGATGAGAGGTAGTCAATGACATAAGAGATGTCAGGGTTTATTTCCAGTAAGAGCCGGTGAAGCTGGGAAAATTGCTCATTAATGCTTTATTGATATTCATGTTGCTATTGAAGAAGTCTGGGGTGGGAGGTGGAGCGGGGGGGCCGTGCCCCCGTTAATGGGGCCAGGCTGAAAATAGGTTCTTTTATGCCTGGGCAAAGGGGATGCACCGACCACGGGAGGTTTGCCTGTGTCAGTCTCTCTAAATAGAGCCTGGATCAGTGCTGTGCCTGAGCCAAAAGCTTTGGAGGAAAAAAACTAATAACTCAGGTCAAACCATGCCAGGAGCGCTGGAGTTCTTGCTTGCTTTTTTTTTTTTTTCACAAAGGAAAATTTAAAGCAGATTGTTGTAAAACTATGCAAAATGTTCGTCTGTGGGGTTTGGGACTATTTAACCCTCATGTTTGCTTTAGCGTTCTGTTTTTAGAGTAATTTGAATTTAAAATGCTCTATCAAAAGGAATTTATTTCCAAAATGTCAAATTACTTTATTTCAGAAGTGCTGACGGTAAAACGTTTGGCTTTTAAAAAACAAAGCAAACTCCATTAGCAGTATGGCATTGGTGACATTCACAAATATTTTCTGTTTCTCTGAAACTCTTTATTCCATAAATTTCCTACGTCCTGCCCGATTTTGTAGCCAGGAACCAGGCTGAGCACAGCAGCTCCCCAGGGAATGTCCCCAAACCAAGCAATTCCCTGCATGGCTGCAGCTTTTGGGGCTCACTGGAAATGGGATTTTGCAGAACCACAGAATCCTGGAACGGCTTGGGTTGGAAAATACCTTAAAACTCTCATTCCAACCCCTGGAATGAGGGCAGAGGCACCTTCCACTAGTCCAGGGTGCTCCAAGCCCCATCCAGCCTGGCCTTGGGCACTGCCTGGTGCTCATCCCCTGCACATCCATCCTCTCAGCCTGTCAGGCTCCATCTGGAGCAGCCAAATCACTTTCCCAGCCCTTCCCAGGGCTTGGCTGGAACCTTTCTGTCTGACCTGAGCAGGGAATGAAGCAGGAGCCTCCCTGGGGAAAGGCAGTGCAAGGCAAGCCTGGCACAGCTCAGTAATTGGGGCAGGGTAAAACATCCCCTGTTAGCGTGTTCAGGAGAGCTCTGCCTCTCACCTGTCTCATGCAGCCTCATTTCCGGGCTGTGGATCAGCAGGGAGCAGCCGATTGCTGGAGACCTGTTGGCACATCTCAGAGGTCTGCCATGCATAATTCCCATTTTTTTGGGTTTCGTCTCTTTTTTTGTGTTCTTTTTGCCGTTCCCATGCCTGTTCACATGTTTGATCACAGCAGGATTTGTGGAAGGGCAGGATGTAACATCCCCAATGCTGAGCCAGACCCCAGTCTCCCTGCTGAACCACGAACTGCTCCTTTTGGATGTTATTTTAAGCTCAGTACATTCCCTGCTCTCCTGCATCCAGTCTGATCCTTCTGTCTGCTGGGACATTGTTTTAATGGAGCACTGGGCATTTTACAGGTGCTGAGAAGCTTATCCTTGTTGTTCCTGGCATGTAAAAGTAGAATCACTCTTCTCATTTTATAGGTAGAGAACATTTTCCCTGGTGATGTCTCCTGCCAGCCTGCTTTCCCAAAGCTGTGGCTTTACTTCCCACTAAAGCTGTGCTGGCAGGGAAAGGGCGGGGTGTTCCCTCCTTGGGACACACCTGGAGGGGCACCCAGAAGAGGGAAAGCTGCTTGCAAATTCCCTCCCCTGTGTAAGATGAATTTTTATCAGTGCTGGGATGATGGAAGATGCTCCCGTCAGGGTTATGGCACTGCTGCTCCCAGACCTAAGGCCATGGAAGCAATAACACTCAGGATATCTCTCTCCGTGGTTTTATGGTCCTTTTCATCACCTGAAAGGTGCTTGGTTCAGTTGGAAGTTGATTAAACTTGCAGGGAAGGATCATGATTTATGCCTGACCAGTGCTCCCAACCACTTTGTAGCCACAGTGTGAATTAAGGCTGATTAAAATCGAGGGAAGGTTCCCTTCTGCCTCTCACTGGGTTTTTGGATTGGGATGTCTGGAGCATCCTGCCTGTGCTCCACCAGGTCCCTGGCTGCCAGGCACTGATGGGAGAGGAGGGCACGGGCCAAAACACAAGAGCAGGGCACTTATTATTCCAAATGAAAAGCTGCTCTTCTCATTAAAGCTGAAAATTATGGTCTGCAGATAACTCTGGTGGCGGTTCATGGAATCAATAAACCCCCAGTTTGTTTTGAAAGCCAAGTTGCCGAAATGCCAAAATACATATTTTGCAAATTGCTTAATTTCCATTTGAAAAGATCAAACCTTATTTCTTCTGAAAGCTGAGAGGTGGGGTGGTTGAGGCAACACACACACAGCAATTTCAATCTTCTTTTTCCTGAAAGATCAGCATTTAATGGAAACTGAGAGCAGTGCAGAAACTGCTTCCTTTTGTTTTATTTTGCTTTTTAAACATCGACACTGCAGGGAGGTTGATGGTCTGAGTTACCAGGGAGTCTGGGCTAATTCCAAAGCAGCTATAGCTAATTTTTTGGAAGCAACATTTCTGACTGTCAAGGTGTCTTCCCACAACAGCTTCTGCCTTTTGGAGGCATGATGGTCACCAGCGCCCTCGTGGATGCTTCTTGCTTCCTAAAATCCCACTGGGATGTAGGATATCCAATCTCCTGTCAGGGATCAGGCTCACAGGAGCACTGTGGAATCAAGGGTTGCAGGATGGGTGGGGACTTGGAATGCTGAGCCTGGAGGTTTCCAAGGGGTTTTGTGGCGAGCTGGGCAGGTGCCAGGTGTGCCCTTGGCACGTGGGGCCTGTCTGAGCCCAGCTGTGGCATCCGCAGAGCTGAGCATCCTCCAGCCCCTCCAACCTGTCAATAACGTTCACATCAATTGGCTGCTGACTGCTCAGGAGGGGAGAGGCAATGCAGGGATAGACACAGCTGGAAGGATAATTTACAGAGAAACAGCTGCAAGGAGAATTTACAGAGAAACAGCTGCAAGGATAATTTACCTCAGAGGTGCCCATGGCACATACGGCCCTGCCCTCTGCATCCCCACCCAGGGACTTCTCTTTCTTTCCCATAACCACTTAAAAAATAAAGATGTATGATGCCTACTTGAGCAGAATAGATTGTTTTCGATTGCTATTCATCTATTATTTTAGAAAGTAAAATGAATAAAACTTATGCAGGTCACAGACATTAAAGAGCATTGTTATATCAGTTTGGGAGCGCTTGTCAGCTTTGATTTATTAAGTAACGTTCCTCGACTGGCTACTGGTGTGTGTTGTCAGTCTCTTGATAATGGATAGACCTCACAGCTGAATGCTCTGTGATTAGACTTCTCAACTATATATTTTTAAATAAAGGCATTGCTTTTTTGGGTTTGCTCATTTCCCTCTCTTAGGCAATTTCATTCATCTTCCCTCTCCCTCCCTCTCTCCACTGTAAATTTGTTGTTGTTGGAAGCTATGAGGACACTAAATGGGACACATCTTAGAGGGTTTGGGTCAGGTTATTTTTTGTTCCCCCCCAGGCTTGCTTCCAACTCAACTTGATGGATTAAATGTCATGGGGGGAGAAAAGTGTGTAAGAGAAGCTATAGAACACCTTTCCAGAGAGAACACAGCACGTGCTGCTCTCTTACTACTGTGCCAGCATCTTTACTGTCACACTGCTCTTCCCTGGGCCTTAGGGATGGAGTTACCAGGGCTGCATGGAGTGGTGGGTGTGGGAGCCCTCAACCTCTCCAAAGGGAGCAGGGGCTGAGCAAACCCAACACTGCCAGCCCTGGTCCCTCCTCCCTGAGGCTGCAGGGATTTAATGGAATGGGAAGCCTTGCCTGGCTGATGAGGAGCGTTCAGGGAAATTCAGGGGTGCTCTGGTATCTCCTCTCACCACAACAGTTTGTTTTCCCTTTGGAGGATGGCCCTATGCTGCCTGGCTGAGCTCAAATCCCACTGCTGGAGTCTCTCCAAGGGCGGCTCGGGAGCCCCTTGGCCGCGATGGGCAGGGATTTGCAGCGAGCTCTGAGCTGCTGTTACCAGGCACGTGCTGGGATCTTCTCCTGGGAACGGCAGCAAATGGGACTGAAGATGAGTATCCTGGGCTAAAATCCTCAGCTAGAACTGTAATTATGCTTTCATAAAGAGCTGAGCTGGAACGAGGATGAGATTGTTTCCCCAGGGGCTGCAAGAGCACTGGGACTGACTCATTAGCGTGGAATTGCAACAGCGCAGGTGGGAGGCCACCAAGTGCCTTTGTAAATGAGTCTTGCAGATCCTTCAGGAAGGGCAAAACTCAACAACTTCCCTGGGATGCTGGGATGAGGCAGCGACCTCCGCTTTTGTTATCCAAGGCTTTGGTCTCAGACCAAAACTGATCTGTCTGACTTGGGAAATGCAGAATGCATTTAAGATAAGGATAAGGAAAAAAAATATTGCACTGATTTCAAAAGCCTTTTTACTCTTGTATGACTCCAAAAATTGCTTTTGATTTAAAGGTTAAGATCTGACAAGCCAACCGACCTCCTTAAAGATCTTTTCTTTACCCTCCTCTTTTCCTCCCCGACACCTTCAAAACTTAAAATATGAGAAAATCTGTGTTGGGTCATCTGTATGGGGAGGGGGCAGCAATTTCTTTGGGAAGCTCTTCCTGCTGCCCCTCCACTGCCGGCTGGGGACACATTGGTCACACAAGGACTTGGTTTCCCCAGGCTGCATCATCCTCTGGTCCCTCTCACAGCAAGATCCAGGCCTGGGCTGAGTGACCCCATGGGGGAAGGGTGGGGGGGTGAGGAAGAGGAGTGCCAGAGAGGATAGAGCAGGGTTTGGAGCCTGTGGAAGGACAAGTGACGTGTCCATGGTGATTTGATGTGATGGTTGGCTGCAGGAGGCCTCTCTCCAGCCGGGTGTGCTCCCAGCAATGTCTTTGCAGTTCATTAAGTGTCTCCTGCTGCTGTTCCTCAGCCTGAAATGGCCTTAGCGGCTTTGCATGTTCCAGTGACACTGCCATTGTCTCCCAATAACACACACATTCATTATGAAGCCAGATTGTTCATTTACACCTTGAAATGATAACGCTGCTGCTCACTTAACAAATCCAACCCCAGTGTGCTCTGAAGAGGCTCGTTGGGGCATTTTTGGTTTGTCCCTACCGACTGTTGTTTCTTAAGCTGCCCTGGTGACAGGCAGGCGGAAATGTCATGGACAAAAAGTGCCCGAGGCTCTCATGCCAGGAGGGCCCCTGATCTTGGGGAGGTGGATTTGCCATCAGGGAGAGGAATCAGTTGCCAGGCCCCCCAGGTGTGAAGATGAGGGTCCCCACTGAGATGGAGCAGCAGATTAGAGCCAAACTCCCTCAGGGTCTGTGGAGTTGGTGGGAAAACACCCAGGGAATTCCACTGACATGTCCCAACCTTGGCACTGGGGGAAGGAGTCCTGGGTTGGTTGTGCCACTTTTGGCTCGACGAGGAGCTCCCTGCCAGGCTCATCCTGTTCGGTGCCATGTTCTAGGCAGGAGCAGGGCTGAAATCTCACCCAGTATTTCCCATGGCCTGAGGGCAAACAGCTTCAGCCCTTCTTTGCTTTAGACTCAGCCTGAATGCAGGAAAACCTCCAGGTCCTGCAGCAGAATCCACCTAACCAAGTCTTTTATTACTCTTCTTTTTTTTCTTTTTCTTCCTCTGAGTAAAAACATCTACACTTTCTCCAATTTACCAGGTAAAATCCTGGAGCATTCCTCCCTGAGAACATATCAAACAACATCCTCCAGTTTCCCTGTGCCACTGGTGCTTCTCCTCCCAGCCGAACGTCCTCCGCGTGCCCTTCTCCATCCTTGGCATCCATGGGGAATTCATGGGTTATCAGCAGGAGTTCGGACTTCCAGGTTAGGGACAGTGAGGGGATATGGACGTGCCAGTGGATGTTCCACAGGGAAGCTGCTGCCTGGCCCCCCAGCCCTCCCAGTTCCCGCGTGGCTCCTGCTGGAGCACCAGATGGGGCTTAATCGGGAGCACCGCGGCGCCGCAGGGTTATTATTGAGAGACATCCAGTTCTGGATGAGAGAAGATTATCCAGGGTTTATTTCCAGCTGATAACACTCTGCCCTTCCATAACACCTTTTATCTGAGGATCTCGGAGCTCTTCACAGACTCAGTTAATTAAGACTCACGTTGCCCCCTGGAGCCGCGGGTGAGACCCGGGCGAGGAGCGCTGGAGCTGCAATTAGGAGGGATCGGCTCGGGCAGGCAGATAAGGCAGATGATCTCCTGCCTCGTCTTTGCCGTCTTATTTGCATGTTTATCTTCTCTGTGCAGTTGAGAACAGTGAACCCGGAGGTTGCACTGCCTGCCCAAAGTTCTCATCAAGCGCTGCGCTGGACTGAAAACCGGCCTGATCCCCTTTTGCAGCCCCAGAAGGAGCTGGTTGCAGAGATATGTCGGTGGTGCAAGATGCTGACTTTGTCCTCTAAGTCTTCCTTTTCTCCTTTCCCAGTGCTGGCTCTCCATGGGCTCCACGCCTTGGCTCTGCTCGAGTTTCCTCCCTGCAAACCCAACCTCCAAATCTTCCTTTGCTGGAAAATAACAACAAAACCCCTCGCAGGCCTCCAAAAAAAGAGCTTTTGCTGCCTCTCCCCACAGGGCCAGATTCCTCAATAGTGATTTCTCTGGAGAATAGCTGGGCCCGAGGTTTCCTTCCCCTCCTCTTTTCTTTTCTTTACTTTCCCCTAACTAAAAATCAGGAAGCTCTAAAATCCTCTTTGAAGTAACACTGTATGAAGAGGATTTATCCTTGTCCACTTAAATATTCATGACAGCTCGCATTTCTGTTCAAAAAGACACTTGTTTATTTAGATAAGATTTAATTTATTCATAATTTACCTAAATTTGCAGGAGCGTGCATGTACATTTTAGCTTATAAGTAGCGTAATACATAAAACATTATTGAAGCATGCAAATTACACAAATACAGCATTGGAAACTGCCTGCTTGTTTTAGGCAGATAACTAATTTCTTACCCTGAGTAGAGACACAAACACAATTGCCTGGGCTTGTTGCCTGGGATTTGGCGACTCTGAATTATGCTTCTCTTAATGCAAGAGGCACAGCTTTAGAGCAGGGCCATGGCAAAGCCCACTTTTCTTGGACTGTGAACCGTAGTAATGCCAAAGCCCTTTGCTGGAGTTTTTTTTTTGTTTCTAGTCCTCTCTCCAGGGACTCAATTTGGGTTTGTGTGAAATCTCCAAGTTCCTCTTTGTTTCCTTGGGATGGGTTAGAATCTCTAGCAGAATTTCTAGAATTTCTAGCAGTCTCACCAGTGCCTGGGGGCTGACGGAGGGAGCAGTTATCCTTGTTCTACACCATCCTCTGGCAGTGTGGGATCTGCTTTCCCTGTGATGGACCTTGTTTGAGTCAACAGTGGAGCCCCTTGATCCTATAATTAATCCCTGCACCCCTCAGGGTGACACTTGTTGCTTTCCCCAGGGCAACAAATGGTCCAGAAGTTCCTCGTAGCCCCCAAATATCCCATTTTCTACTTGCTTCCAGTTAATAATTGCACAAATTAGCAACCACACAATGTGCTAGGCTGGAGAACGCAGGCTGAGCTTCCTCCCAAATCTCCAGCCCCCTGTGCCACAGGACAGCAGCACAAGGGCTGAGGCTGGAGGTGCAGCAGGGATTTTTGTGTTCTGGGCACAGGCACTGCTCTCAGCACCGTTAGAAATTGTTCCTAACAGGAGCAATTCCGGTCAGGAACGAGATGTTTGCAGCTGTAAATATGGAATATAGGGTTTGTGTCTGTGAAGCCCGTAGGAGATCTCTCAAAGATGGGAATATTGGGCAGATCCTGCTGGGCAGGGCTGTGTTACCCACAGCCTGTAATTAAGGCTCTGTGACACCTCCCACCAGACTCTGCTTTCCCTTCCTTGTCTGTGCCAGGCTGCAACTGTTTGGGCTGGAATTCCCAGGGCCAGATGTCCTCCGTGGCTTCACAGGCTTTGTTTGTTTGTTCTGCAGGGATGGACGAGCAGGGATGGGGACGGCAGGGCTGCCTGGTGCTTTTGCTTTTTCCCAGCTGAAATCAGAGCCAACGTTTTCTATCGTTTTCCAGACTGAGTTTAATGGGAAAAAATACATTTTCCCTGGGTTTGCCTGCTGCAAAAATCACTAATGAGTATCTCCAGAGCCTGAGCGCTTCAGGACAGGGCAGGTTTTTTGGTGGATCATGAAAATGACATATTTTAATCTTGGAAAAGCCGTTACACCTCAGAGAAAAAAAAAACCTCTGCCTTGGGAACAACTTTGAGTGTGCAGGTGGACAGGGAGGGTAGAAACTGCTGGGGGAATCCCCCAGGGAGCAGTTTGTGGTGGCACTGTCCCCTGTGTCATTTGTCCTGAAGGCTGCCAGGTAAACCAGAGCTGGCCCAGCCTTATTTCCATGGTCCTGCTGGGTCATGCAGCGAGGAGGACATGGCTCTGCTGCATTTCCTTTATTAAAGAATTTAATTACAAGGCTTAATTACATAGTCACAGCATATTTGGATTTCCAGCAGGTCATGCCCTCTCTGGGTGGACAGAACTCACCAAAGGAGCTGAGCTGGCTGTGGTGAGCTCCAGGAAATAACCTGTTTCAGTGTAATGGGAAGCAAAATAAGACCTAAGGAGAAATGTTGGTATTAAACACCTGCTGATGAAAGGAGCTCTGCCTGTTGTGTGGGCTGGAGATCCTGGGATGAAGTGGTGCAATCCTTTAGTGGCCTTAACCTGGCAATGCTTAATTTAGTCAGAAATGGTGTTATCTGACCACAATATTCCAATTGCTGCATCCCTGTCTGCAGAGAGGTTTCAGAGGAGGATCAGAGGTGTTTTTATACAGCCACTATCCCCATTTTGTCCTTTTTTCACTTGGCCTTGGCTGGAGTTCCTGCATAGGCTGTGCTTTGAAGTGAGAATTTTATCATGGAGTGGGCAGACTCCAAATTCTGACTTTGTTGGGACCTGTTGGAGCTGTAGAAATGCAGCAGAATTCTACTTGTGGTGCTTGGCTGGTGGGAATCGTGGAATCCCAGAACACTTTGGGTGGGAAGGGACCTTAAAGCCCATCCAGTGCCACCCCCTGCCATGGGCAGGGACACCTCCCACTGTCCCAGGCTGCTCCCAGCCCTGTCCAGCCTGGCCTTGGGCACTGCCAGGGATCCAGGGGCAGCCACAGCTGCTCTGGGCACCCTGTGCCAGGGCCTGCCCACCCCCACAGGGAAGAATTCCTTCAAAATATTGAAATTTTTCCTCTTTTAGTTTATTTCAGCTTATAGCAATTTTAGTTTTTATGAATGCCCTACAGGTGAAGAAAAACAGTCCTCAAAAACCTGTGCTTGAGAAGATGTTGGCCTTCCCCCTTGAATGGAGCTCAGATGAGGGAGTTTTGTTTAGGAGTGGGATGTGTGTGAAGAGTGTCAGAGCAAAAACTTCAGATTTCAAATCATTTCACTAAAATAGCTCATAATGGTGTGAGCTTGACCACCTCGATGTGCAGAAGGGGAGATGCAGCGTTTGGCTATTCCTGAACACACATTAATTAAGGGAAGAGATGAATATTTGCTGACCAGCAGCGAGCAGGGTGTATCAGAAAAGAACACGGCATCGATCGGAGTGAAAAATAAATAAATAATAGAAATGTCCCCCCCAACACCACCTGTAGATGCATTAGGGAGAAAATATTAAACTGGGCTCTCCTGGCTCCCATGCAATTGATGCAATTTATTTTCAATTTGTCAAACGTGGCATTGGAGCAGCAATTGGTTTTGGTGATTTATTAGGAATTTTCTAACCAGGGCACTCTGTCATTGGAGTTACTTCACTTCTGTTCAAGTAGATTTTTGTCTTTCTGCAAGCTCAAGCTCTGAAGCCAAAAAGGTGAGTTTTTCTACATTCCCCTCCCTTTTTTTTTTTTTTTTTTTTTTTTTTTTTTAGCCAAAAGGGAAAACTGAAAGAAACTCAGCCAAAAAAGGGAAATGGGGAAAAAGTAGCAGAATTGACGTATTTTAAACATCATGACAGGATGGGCTGTTTAAATTGCCTCTGTGAATTGATTTAAAAGCTGTTGGAAGGCATTTCTATTTCATTAACTGTCTTTCTCCTTCATTTCAGTCACTGGAGTCATTGCCTCTTATTACCTTCCAGGTTCGTGATATCCATCCACATGGTTATTTTGGTTATTACAATCTGTATACAGAAAGTGTAAGAGGCAATTTTGGGACAGAAGCAGCTTGGGAGGGATGTGGGGATAGTAAAATAAATAATTTGATTTCTGTGTGACACCCATGATTCAAAGCCAGCAGGATTAGGGGAGTGTTTGTGCTGGGTGTGCATTTTGGTCAGAACCTTGCAGGAAAGTGTGAGGGTTTGTGGTATCAAATCTGGATCTGGTTATGAAGTGTTTTCCCACACTGAATAACCAATAATGAATCCACAGCAAATTTTCTCCTGGGAATTAGATGCTGCAGTGTGCTCATGGTATTTTTCAACCCTTCTGGCTGTGGTGGTATCTGGAGTTTGGTGAGTTTGGAGTGTATTTTCATTTACCTTCCTCTGTGAGGTGGATCTTGGGGAGCAGGAGGACCCTTTCCTTATCCTTGGGGACATTAATGATGCTGTCCCTCAGGGAACATTAATGCTCCCTTTATTTAACAGCTGAAAAGGTGCATGAGGTACCTGCAGAGGCTGCTGGATATTACCAAGGTCTGTGGGGGAAAGAAAAGAGGAAATCTTTTGGGCTGTCCTTCCCAAAGCTTTTCTTTTCAGACCTAAACAGCACAGTGAGCTCCAGATTATTTTCAAAAATGCTGGAGCTTCCAGTCTGTTTTCCCAGAGCTCTGCAGAGTCATTAGCTGCTTACAGCACTTAAAAGAAAAATGTGGTGCTTTGGAGACTTCGCTTCTGTTTGCTGTCTTTACCACCAACTAATTGGTTGGATAACGAGCAAATATTTTTCCTCTGTTCCTCAATTTCCAAGCTTTTTGACTTGCAAGCAGGAAGAGCAGGAGCTGCTGGTGGCTGGCAGGCAGTGAGAGGGGAAGGAGCTGTGGGGGCCTGCAGGGACTGCCTGGATCCTGCTGTCCCCACGGTTTGTGCCTCTTCTGCTGAGCTTTACACCCACAGCTCTGGTCTGACTCATCCTTAAAGACGGTGGGGAAGGGAAGGGGTGAAGCTCTGTGGGGCAGGGTGACCCATGGTTCCATTTGGGGGCAACAGAGCATCCAGGAGCCTTGATAGTGTGAAAAACGCATTCACTCTCCTGTGAAAACTTAGAAAGTTTAATAAAGGACCATAGGAGACAAAGACCATGGAGCAAAGAAATTACAGCTGCTCAGCTGAGAGCACACCTGCTAGTTTGGAAACACCCTTTATACACCATTTCTATTGTATCAGCTTGTTACATATTCATAAACACTTATGCATATTAAACTTCTCCAAACTAGTTTACATGTCCCAAGAACTGTTCAGCACTGCTCCTCCTCTGTTCCACCATTTCAAAGCATGCCCATTCCTTGGCTGTGGTTTTAGTCCTTTTTTTGTCATCACCTGCAATTTTTGGGCCTTGCTCCACACTGCCTCTGTCAGTGAGTGCTGATGGGTGGCAGCTCTGCACAGGTGTCCTCATCCTGTGTCCATTGGGTGTTATCCCATCCCAGCAGGCATTTTAACACAAGCACACTGATATCAGATATTCCACTGAGCTTAATGAACAACAGAAATAAAAACTATATAGCAAAGTTACTTTAACACCACATATAAAATCCATTTAAATATTTGCAAAAAGTCAATATTAGAATATGTATCTATAACAACAGGGTTGAATGATTCTATGATCAGGGTAACTGTGGCAAGGAGTGACAGCTCTTGGCTGCATGAGCCAGAATTATCTTGATTTAAAGGCAGTGTTTGTGACTTTAAATGGAATTCTCTGGGGTTGATTCAGCCCCGACCAAGAGCTGGGTGTGCTGCTGGAGGCCATGTCCATCGCTCACAGTGAGGTTTCCCAGTGCTCTGAGCACAGCGAGGTGTAAAGGCAGCAGCCACGGAGAGCAGGAACATCCTGGGTGACATCCTGAGTGCCCGAGAGAGCAGAGAGCTGGCCTGGCTGATCCCCAGCACGGGGACACTCCTGCAGTGAACAGCAGAGCTCCCCATGAGAGTGACTGGCATGGCTTGCAAAGGGTTCCCAGACTGGAGCCTGCACCCAGACTCTGGGACCCGGGAGAGGCACCTTCGCCCCGGGCTCTTGCAGGGGGTGCATCCCCCTGCAGCACCCAGGAGCATCAGGAGCCAGGGTTTGGCCCCCAAACCCTCTGCTGCTGCTGCTGCTGAGGTGAGGCTGAGTCAGTCGGAGATGGGGAAGGGTCTCAAGGGGCTACACCAGGAGTGGCTGAGGACACTTGGCTTGTTCAGCTGGGGGAGACTGAAGTCAGACATAACCAGGGGCTGCAGCTCCTCCTGAGGAACAGCTCTGATCTCTGCCCTGGGACACGGACAGGAGCCAGGGCATGGCTGGAGCTGGGCCAGGGCAGGGTTAGGTTGGATTTTAGGGAAAGGTTCTTCCCCCAGAGGGAATGGGCACGGCCCCGAGGCTGCCAGAGCTGCAGGAGCCTTTGGACAGCGCTGCCAGGGATGGACAGGGTGGGGTTTTTGGGGGTCTGGGCAGGGCCAGGGGCTGCCCTGGATGATCCTGTGGGTCCCTCCAGCTCAGGAGGTTCTGTGAACCCTCCTGGCTGCTGGAGGTGTTGCTCTGACTCCCTCCTGCCCTTTGAGTATCCTGAATGTGTGTTCCCAGTAGGACAAAGCCACCTTGGCAGGAGGCTCAACCGGGACTCAATCTCACCTGCCCCTCGCACCAGGTTTTGGGAATGGCAAAGGGAGAATGTTGTGTGCTGCTTTAGCTTTTTCCTATCTCCATCTGAGCTCTTTGGGATAGCCTTGTTTATCCTCTAGTCAGTGCTCTGTGTATGCATGAAGGCAATATCAAACTTTGGGAATTTGCAGGAGCAGTCTGATGCTCTGGGACTGCAGAGCTCGTGGCTAGAGGAGAGCCAGGTGCTGCCTGTGGCATCTCTCAGCCTCACCCTCACAGCCAGGTACCTCCACCCCCACCCCCACAGTGGCAGACATGACCCCATTGTCCCAGCTCCGTGTCAGAATCTGAGGTATTGATGATTCTGAGATTGCAAAAGTCTCTGTCTGTCAGCCCCACTGCCAAAGCAGAAGCCATAATT